TCACACATCAAAGTCTTTTTATTTTTCCACTCAATTCTTCTATTATATAAAAAAGAAATAAAAAAGGGGAATATTAAATAATACTTACTACACAAGGGTACTTTAAAAAGTTCGTGGAAAAATAGAATTGAAAGATAACACGAGGCTTTCCATGAACTCTGTGAAGGACTGTCATACGCATATCACACAAGAATGATTCAACCAGGCAAACCCAGAGAAACGCGAACACTAAGGGAGGCAGGGCTGGAATTTTCCTCAGTGTGTACAGTTCGATGCAGTTTCAGTTTTTATTCTGACCTTCCCCAGTGGTTTCTGCCCAGCAAGTGAGAAACAACACCTCTGAGCCAATCACAGAACTGATTCCAAAGAGCAGCACTTACTGTTTCTCACCGTGAGCAGACAAACTCTGGTTTCTTTCTTTTTCGTTTCTTCCACATGAAAGACTCTCAGTGTAACAGAGAGGACTGGGAACTACTGATGACCCTTCTTCGGTGGGCTGTGATTTTCAGACAGACTGCAAGAGGGTGAGTGGGGGAGACCGATTAGAGCCAGGGCAGCAGGGCCTGGGAAGGGACATGCTGAGAGCTGAGAGGGGCCTGCAGGGAGGGGCTGGCACAGAGAGAGGCTGAGGGGCTTGGGGCGGGGGGTGGGGAGGCAAAGGGTAAGGACCTGCAGAGGTTGGGATTTGGTGGAAGGGGGACGACCTGAACAAAGAAACTTTCCAAGTCCATGTTCTTAAGAACATATTATCATATGAAAGGAGCAAGGAACCCTTAAAATCTGTTCTGTTTATCTCTAGCATTTCTAGTGTATTCTGAAATGTTCTGAAAGAGATGTGCCTTATAGATTTCCATGTAAAGATGTTCATTAGAGAACTACTAATAGTACAGAAAAATCTGAACCACCATACATAAAGAACAGTGGCAAATGAATAAACAATGCATGGTTCAATCACAAAAGGGATTCTTTCATTTAAAAAAATTTTTAAAAATTTTTTTATGTTTATTTGCTTATTAATATTATTATATTTTTACCTTCTAAGAGGTTGCAGAGCAGTTGAGGGGGAGGAGGAGGGAGGAAGAGAGAAGGAAATAGGGTGGGAGAAGAAGGCAGGAGGTGGATGTGGTTGAGAGCCATGGCACCCCCCTCATTACTGCAGGGGAGAGAAGGGGTCTTCCAGTGGTGGCTTGGTCATTGCTGGGCTGGATGCAGATGACAGGGTGGGTGGCTGAGGCTTTCAGCCTCCCACCACCCCAGTTGCGGAGCATGTGGTGCTTCTTACGGCAGCTTGGTGGTCATTGCTGGGCTGGTTACGAATGTTGGGGGGTGTAAGGCCCCATAGAAGATCCCAAAGGAGGCACTCCCTAAAACATGGCGCTTTTCTCTTCCGGGTCCTAACAATCTTGCCAGCGCCAAGATGCAGCCTATCAGAAATCATTACCCCCGCCCCCGGCCAATCAACTACCGCCCCGTGTACTAACCACCCTCTCCCGGAACCCGGCTCTATATAAATGTATGCTTCTCCCCTGAATAAAGCGGAACTTCTCTGGTGAACTGTCAGCTCGGGTCCTTCGTCCTTTCAGGGGGCATTGCTGAGGCCCCTGGCCCTGCCCCCTCCCTCGCTTGGGAGCCCAGGGGGCCTCCAGTCCTTCTAGGTTTTACAGGTGTTCTTTGGTAATGTGAGGGCTTTACTAGTTAACATCAAACTTTCTCTAGATCTGTTGGTATTTTGTTTTTTCTTTCAGTTCTGTCTTGTATTATTTGCTGTTCCCACGACTTAAACTCTGCATTGGAACTAATTTGCTGTCCTTTGCTTACTTCTTAAATGGGGGAACTTCCTGTGGAACCAGCACTTGAGTCCTGTAGTTGAGCTAAATTGCTTCTTTGATGCTGATTCCCTGGTTACAGCTTTTTGTGCAGCTCAGGTTTTAATTGTTGACCTTGTACGTACTTCTAGGTCTCATGGGCTTCAGTGCACCTGGGTTGTGAGAAAACTCTGGTCTGAGCCTGAGTCTTTTCAGCAACCTGCACCCCTGGTAGTTCTATATCAGCCTACACAGAGTGATTCTGTGCTGACTGGGAGGCAGATCAGCTGTCCATGCTGTGCCCCGATGTTCCCCTGGTGGGCCCATCTCCCCCACTGCCTGCACTCCAAACACGTCCTATGGGACGGGCCATGTGCAGATCCCTTTTGACGACTCACTGGCCTCTGAGTGGCTCCTTTTCTCAGTTGTCGTGGCTCCTCACTCCTGTGTGGGGCCACCAAGGCTCTCTTCTCCCCTGCAGCATCCAAGCAACGCCATCCGAAGGGCACAGCTACAGCTTTTGCCAGCTCCTGCTCCGTGCTCTCAGCAACTCCAGTCTGGAAGTAAACGGGGTTTGAAATGATGGGAGCAGGCCTTTCTTCTCTCATTGTGTCTTCTCCTGCATTCATGAACCTTATAGGTCTCTCCTCCTCTTCCCCTGAGCTGTAGTGGCCCCAGCTTGGCTGTCGTTGCTTTTTGGTAGTTGTAAATTGGTTGATTTGGGGGAGAGAGTGACACTGGGGACCATCTATTCTGCCATCTTGACCAGAAGCCAGAAAAGGGATTTTTATGCAGCCGTTATGAATTGTGTTTTTAGTGAAGAGAAATTATTTATAATTTTAACAGCATTGTGCCCATACATTACACCTATTTGGTATCTTTTGTGGTATATCTATTTTCTGTCTGTGCTTTTATCCTAAACCTAGAGCATGCTTCCCAATGGCTGCAAGCTATTACACTGTATGAATATAACATTATTTTTTTACCCCTTTACTTTGCATATTTAAATTGTATCTACATTTTGCTATTGTAGATTTTACTATGTTGAACAGCCTTAAACATTAGTCTTTCTGTTAATCCCTATTTTTTTTTAAAGTCTTGTTTTTTGAAGAGCAGTTCCTGTAAGTGGAATTTTTAAGGCCCTTGCTAAACATATGGCCAAAATACTTCCAGAAATATATGCATTCACACTGGCAAAGTGTATGACTACCATTACAGATTATTTAAATACTTATTCCTTTATATTCTTCTCCATTTTCAAAATTGTCTATAATCAGCAAGAAAGAACAATAAATATCCTAAAAAATAACTGAAAATGCTTTTTCCCAACCGTGAGGAGAGCAGTGAAGTTGTTATCTCAGGGACCTCAAGATAAAAATTGCTGCCCCTCTCTAGCAGCATAAAGAGCAGTTGTGAGGAGCTGAGGGTGTGGTAAAAGGCAGTGTCTAGTCTGCAGGTGCAGCAGCTTTCAGTCAGGGATGGAGGGAGAGCCAGCTGCACAGACCTCTCTGTTCCCTTGCCCCCTCCTCACCCCTCCCAATGCCCCTGCAGACCTCCTCACAGGCAGTTCCCAGACCCAGGTACCCGAAGCACAGGGACTATGACTTCGTCCTCAGGCTCCTTTGTTTGGGAGGAAACGGTGTGAGGAGTTAATATTTACTGAGCAGCTAGTATGAGCCACTCACTAGAATGACTCATAACAATTACAATTAAGTAATACATAAAGAAAACATTCACATAAATTTAAAGAAAAGGAAGCAATGGGCCAGTGTCCTTTCACTGCCCTAACCTCCAGTCTGCAGTTCAGCATGCAGCTTTTGAGACCTTTTGAAATTACACATGTATGTGTGCACAAGTCTATAGCTTTGCTTTTGTTTACTATACAGTCAGTAGGACAGCTCTGCAGCGTGCTTGTTAATCACTTATGACATCTCCATCATGCAGGTTAGTGACAACAAACCACTCTTTCCAACTGCAGAGTGGAATTCCCTCACAGGGATGAGCCGTCACCCTTCTCACCAGTCTCCGGAGGGGCCTGGTCGGTTCCTACTATTTACATACAATGAAAAGCAATGTCACTGTGCCAACCTCTGTACTCGTGGAACTACTGTGCTGGACTAGACGTCACGAGTGCAATTGCTGAGTGAATTGTGCACATTCTGATTTTCACATTTCCCAATGTTTTAGGTGTTACTAAAGTTCACATAGGTTTTGTCACATGACTGAGATCACACAGCTTGTGGATCACAGTGCCATTACCTATTTTCTACCCTCTTGCTGTCCCTAACAAGTAACTTAGTGGGCCTGGCACATTGTGGGTTCTCAGTAAGTATTTGTTGACTGACTGAAGGAAGGAAAATGCAGGTGAGACCTGGTCCTACTCCCAGCTCTCCCACTCACTGGCCTTGTGATTAAGAAGCAGTGGGTTCAGCCCCTGACTGACTCTGGAGCCTCCACAGGGAGTCTGCCCAGATCCTGCCCAGAGTCTTCTGGGCTGTGATGTAACTACGCTTATGGTCAGGAGTTGGCATCTAGAGGAATCCACAGTGTTACTCCCAGTGGGGCACACCTTCCAGTCACTTTGTCTGGACTCCTTTCAACCCAACTTCTTCCCAGCAGGAGGGAACATCACAGGAGTGGAGGGAGGGGGAAGGGAGGGGCCTGGGGCCAGTTCTCAGCCCTGTCCCTGAGGGATCCACCCAGAGGGGCTCTCCTGGGCTCTTCCTCTGTTTAGGGATGCACCAACTCTGAGTGGTCAGGTGGAAGCAAGCTAGAAACACAGCAGGAACAAGCCATGCTAGCTGGCACACCCACAGTGTGGGCACAAGTAAAACAAGGGAGTCCATTGAGGAGGGTCCTGTGTTAATCAGAGGGGATGATAGAGGCCTAGACCTGGCTGCCGCAGGGGAAGTGTGGGGAAGGATTCTGAGTATTTTCCGACAGTAGAGTGGTGGATTTCCTGATGGAATAGCACACGTACATCAAACACATACATATTTTTACGGATGATCTTCCATGGTGGAACCCAACGGTGAAGAGACTTTAGGACACACATTTCACACAGCGGAGGATCTTCTTGGGTCACCACAGTTGAGTTAGGCCTGGGAAGTGGAGGTTCCAACGTGGAATCGTATGTCTTCTTCCAGGTCATAGTGTCTGCCTGTCCCTTCTGCTGTGTCATGATATGCAGCACAGATGAAAATGGCAACTTCCAGGCCCTTCCTCCTACTCAACCTCCTTGTGTACCTCATCTTGGTCCAGCTACCCACCCCTTGCTCAGGTAGGAAATGATTCTGCTTCTGTGTGTCTGAAGCAGACATTACCTGTTCACACCCACTGAGAACCTGGACGTCCCATCTGAAGTGAAGGGTCACCCACCATTAAGAGACAAGCTGAGCTTCTGTTAGGCTCGTGTTCCTCTCTGGACTCTTTCTACCTTGTCTTCCCTGCCTGAGAACTACCCTTTCTCTCATGGCCCCGACTCTAACCCCTCTGATGGAGCTTTCCCCTTTGGCTGACCAGCTCACTTTGCTGTGATTGGACCCGCTGGGCCCATCCTGGCTATGGTGGGTGAAGATGCTGATCTGCCCTGTCACCTGTCCCCAGCGATGAGTGCAGAGTCCATGGAGCTGAGGTGGGTGAGGTCTAGCTTTAGGCAGGAGGTGAACGTCTATGCAGATGGGAAGGAAGTGGAAGACAAACAGGTCACAGCCTATGGAGGGAGAACTTCGATTCTAAGAGACAGCATCAGTGCAGGGAAGGCTGCTCTCCGAATATACAACGTCAGAGCCTCTGACAGTGGAAACTACCTCTGTTATTTCCAAGATGGCAAATTCTATGAAAAAGCCATCGTGGAGCTGAAGGTTGCAGGTGAGCCTCCAGGTTTTGTTATGAAATGTTTCCTCCCTGGGACCTGGGGGAAGAGTCAGAGTTCCAGATGTCTTGGTGCAGTCTCTTGCCCTGTGGCTCTGGCTGGGTTTGGTCAGTGGGGAGCTGTAGCAGAGGATATGGGGAGGGAGACCCTGCAGGATTGCCTCTGGCTGGCTGCATGCCCTTGCCTAGGATCACAACTCCTCTCATGGATACCGTCCATACAAGACTCTCATCTTTCAGGTCTTCAAAAACAGCTCCTTCTTCTCCTTTGTGTATAGGGGTGGGGGGTGATATCCCATTGTAAATGGCCCTGGGGTACCGCACCAGTCCATGTAGTTTTCCCCTCACCACCACCACAATTTATAAACTGCTCCTGAATGAAACCCTCATTGAGATATCCAATGTGCCTGTGCCATCTCTCCTGGTGAGACCCTCCCTGGTGCAGGAGGCTTCCAGGAATGTAGGCTGCTTTATCCTTCCACAGCACTGGGTTCTGATCCTCACATGGAAATGAAAGGTTATGAGGATGGAGGGATCCACGTGGACTGCACCTCCACTGGCTGGTACCCCCAGCCCCAAATACAGTGGAGAGATGCCAAGGGACACAGCATCCCGGCTGTGGCAGCGCCTGTGGTTGCAGACGAAGCAGGACTGTATGCAGTGGCAGCATCCGTGGTCCTGAGACGTGGCTCTGGGGAGGGGCCATCCTGTACCATCAGAAATTCCCTCATCAGCCAGGAAAAGACAGCCAGGATTTCCATCGCAGGTCGGTAACCTTCTTGGCCTTGGGTATACCGAGCTGGAGTGTGGCTATGGAAAGAAGGAGGGTGTGTGATTCTCCCCTGTGTGAGTCTCTCCTGCTGACCTGGATCCTTGCAGTGAATAAAAGGACCAGAGCAGGGACCTGGAGCCTCCTCCTTCCTCCAAGGGAGCTTCTCTCCTCCATAAATCTGGTTATGCCACTAACATTTACTGAAATTTTCCTGTCCAAAAGTGTGACAGGCAATGGGAATTGGGTGGAAATGATTAAGATATGATCCTTAAGCAAAGACAAATGAGAAAATGGGGGGAAAATGTACTTACAACTCATATCATGGAAAAAGAGGTAATCTTGAAATATAAGAAGGTTTCAAAGACCCTTGTAGAAAAATTAGCAAAGAACAAGAATTATTAATTTACAGAAAAGAAAATAACACAGAAAAAGATTCTGAATGTTACTAATTAGAGAAGCATATATTAAAGAATTTTTCACTCATGAGATTGGCAAAACAAAGGGAAACCAAACTGAGGTGGTGGATAACACTTGCTGGTGTCAGGAGCAGGGGAGGTAACAACTCTCGGGCATTTGCTATATTAATTCATTGTTTTTTGGTTTTTGATAGCTGGCCAGTTTAGGGATCTGAACCCTTGACCTTGGTGTTCCAATACCCCACTCTAACCAACTGAGCTAACAAGCAAACCCTAATTTGTTGAATTTTTGACTACATTAGCACAACTGCTATTGGGGGCTATCCAATGTCTATCCAAACTACATATTTGTTGATCCAAAATTCTACTTCTGGAGCTGGCCAGTTAGCTCAGCTTGCTAGAGCATGGTGCTAATAATGCCAAGGTCCAGGGTTCTATAACTGTACCCTTTAGCTACCAAAAGTAAAGAAATAAAATTCCACTTTTTGGAATTTATCTGACAGATCAGATTGCCTCTATGTGGGATGACCCACGTGAAATGCTATTTCTCATAGCATTATGATTGCACAAAGTTACAAGCTATGCAATTGTTTCCTGATGGGGAACTTCCATACAAGGAAATACTGCACAGGTGTGAATGGAAACAAAGAAATTCTCGCTAAACTAATATAGAAAAATTTCCGAGGTACAGTTTACACAGAAAGAGCAAGATGCAGAGCAATGAACATAGAATGCTATCTGTAGTGTAAAGAAGACGAAAAGTAAGAATATATTTCTATCTATGTTTTCTAAATTTAACAGTTATACAACACTCGCTATATGTCAACCACTTTCTAAGCATTCATTTCACCCCTCTAACGTCAGGAGTAGGTGCTATTATTACCCCACTTTACCCATAAGGACACTAGGAACACACAGTTAAGTAACTAGTCCAGGGTCGCACTGCTAGTCAAGTGGAGGAGTCACAATTAGAACCCAGGCCCTCCGGCTCCACAGTTTATGTTCTTCACCATCATATTAAGATGACAAATGAGAAGCTAATCGATGGGGTAGAGAGGAGGAGGGCTGTGTGGTGAGAGACTTGGGTATTAGA